TTAATTGAGAAGAATTTCCACATCCCGTGGAAGTTGGGAATAATTCTAGCGTTCTCCCAAATATCTAGCAGAATCCCGGTGTGTTCAAGTGGCGGGAAGAGCTCCGGCGGTGGTCGAGGAGGAGAGGATTCTCCTTTTCCCCTTTCTCCTCTTCTTCTCTTCTTCTTCTCTCTCTTCCCTTGAGTCCCTTTGTGTAGAATGAGGGCTCTATTTATAGTTTTTTTGGATTGGCATAGCCCGTAAACAGTTATGGGATTTTTCTTCCTTCCCCCACGACTTTTTGATGGTTGAGGCTTTCGCTATTTGCTAGTGGGAAATTTCCCCTGCTCAAATTAGCTCCCCTCCTCTCGTGCAAAAGCTTAGGGGATTTCTTCCGCCCCTCAATTCTTCGAGAGATTTGTTGAACTGCATAAATCCGGCATCGGGTAGAAATTCGGCGTTGGGTAGGAATACAGCGTCGGGTAGAAGACCGACGAAAGTCCATTGACGGACAGAAGTCCGACGACAGGTAGAATTTCGATGCCCGGTGGAAGACCGATGAAAGTCCGTCGACGAGCAGAAGTCCGACGACGAGAAAAAGTCCGCTGATGAGCAAAAGTCCGACGATAGAGAGAAGTCCGACGTCGGGTAGAAGTACAATGTCGGGTAGTAGACCGACGAAAGTTCGTTGACGAGCAGAAGTCCGATGACAGGGAAAAGTCCGACGTCGGGTAGAAGTACAACTTCGGGTAGAAGACCGATGAAAGTTCATCGACGGGCAGATGTTCGACGACGGGTAGAAGTCAGACGTTGTGTAGAAGTACTGTGTCGGGTAGAAGACCGATAGCTTGTAGAAGTCCGACGTCAGGTAAAATTCTGACGAAAGTCCTACAAGACAAAAGTTCGGCAATAAAAGGAAATTCAACATCGGGTGGAAATTTAACTTTGTGGAGAAGTCTGATGGAAGTCCATTGACGGCATTCTGACTACGTTAACTAAGGATGTAAGACCTATCCGAGATTGTATGTCAGAGCCTTTGCTTGATGTTGTTAATATATATTGGATCCACCAAAGATGTGAGACCTATTCGAGGTTATATGTCAGAGCTTTTTCTCGATGATGTTAACCTGTATGGAAGAGGTCGAGAGAATCCACCAATAATATGAGACCTTTCCGAGGTTGTATGTCAGAGCCCTACTCGATGACGTTAACCTGTGTGGAAGAGGTCGGGAGAATCCACCAAGGACATTAGACCTATCCGAGGTTGTATGTTAGAGCCTTTGCTTGATGTTGTTAATATATATTGGATCCACCAAAGATGTGAGACCTATCCGAGGTTGTATGTCGGAGCTTTTTCTCGACGACGTTAACTTGTATGGAAGAGGTCGAGAGAATCCACCAAGAATATGAGACCTTTCCGAGTTTGTATGTCAGAGCCCTACTCGATGATGTTAACCTATGTGGAAGAGGTCGGGAGAATCCACCAAGGATGTTAGACCTATCCGAGGTTGTATGTCAGAGCCTTGCTCGATGATGTTAACCTGTGTGGAAGAGGTCGGGAGAATCCATGAAGAATGTAAGACCTTTTCGAGGTTGTATGTCGGAGCCTTTATTCGACGATGTTAACCTGTGTGGAAGAGGTCGGGAGAATCCACCATGGATGTAAGACCTTTTCGAGGTTGTATGTCGGAGCCTTTGCTCGACGATGTTAATCTGTATGGAAGAGGTCGAGAGAATCCACCAAGGATGTAAGACCTATCCGAGGTTGTATGTCGGAGCCTTTGCTCGACGACATTAACTTGTGTGGAAGAGACCAGGAGAATCCACCAAGGATGTAAGACCTTTCCGAGGTTGTATGTCGGAGCCTTTGCTCGACGACATTAACCTGTGTGGAAGAGGTCAAGATAATCCACTAAGGATGTAAGACCTTTCCGAGGTTATATGTCGGAGCCTTTGCTCGATGAAGTTAACCTGTATGAAAGAGGTCGAGAGAATCCACCAAGGATGTAAGACCTATCCGAGGTTATATGTCGGAGCCTTTGCTCGACGACGTTAACCTGTGTGGAAGAGGTCGAATCGAATCCCTCTGGGATTGATTTTTCCTTGATTGGGAGGGGGCGAACGCCGCGTTTATCCCGAATCAAAGATAAAAAAGGGTCTATCTTTAGACCATTACTGCCTTTTTGAGGTCAAGATTAAGACCTTGCCCAAGGAGTAAAAATCCAGCAAGGGACTGTATAAAACTTGTAATTGAATGGAAATATCCTTGCCATCATTGAGATTTTCCTGAAATATCATCTTGATATATAAAGCATCGGAGGATCTTTTTGACCAGAATTGGGGTCAAAGTTGCCCCCTAGCCTGCATTTGATGCAACAATAACTGATGTCAGGAATTTGATAAGAGCGATCTTTTGAGATTGGAGCAAAAGTTGCCCCCCAGTTGGGAACCATGTTCCCACAGACGGCGCCAAACTGTTGCGTCTAGGAGTATTCGTGGTGGTAGAGAAATAGAAAGTTTATCGTCTTAGAATTGTATGAAAATCCAGCACACAATCAGATAAGAGAGAGGGTCTAACATTCACATGAGACACCAATATTTTTACGTGGAAAACCCTTGAAAAGGGAGAAAAAACCACGGGGCCTAGCCCAGTTTGAATGAATCCACTAGTATTGTAGTTGATTACAAATGAGGTCCTTCATTGGTGGAAGGTCTTAGCTTGATGTACATCTTATGGAGTACATTACATGATGTTAATACAAAGAGTCATTATTGACATGTTCGTTTGGTCGGAAGGACCGTAGTCGGAGGGCGACGGAGGTCGGAAGACTTGTAGTCGATGGGCGACGTATGTCAGGAGGACCATAGTCGATTGGCGACAGAGGTCAGAAAGATTATAGTCGGCGGGCGACATAAGTCAGGAGGACCGTAGTCGGCGGGCGACGGAGGTCGGAAAGACAGTAGTCTGACGACGAAGATCAGAAGGACAACATCAGGTAAAAGTCCAATAATGGAAAGAAATCCATCTTCGTGTAGACATCCAGCGAAGCCCGAAAATCGGTAGAAGCCCGGCGTCGGGTAGAAACTTGGCGAAGAGTGAAGGTGCGACGTCGGGTAGAAATCTGCGTATGTTGGTGGCAGAGGAGAACTCTGGCCTCACTTGGGCGGAGTTTCAGAGTCAGGAGGGAACTCTGTCGTTAATTGAGAAGAATTTCCACATCCCGTGAAAGTTGGGAAGAATTCTGGCGTTCTCCCAAATATCCGGTAGATTCCCGACGTGTTCGGGCGGCGGGAAGAGCTCCGGCTGTGGTCGAGGAGGAGATGATTCTCCTTTTCCCCTTTCTCCTCTTCTTCTCTTCTTCTTCTCTCTCTTCCCTTGAGTCCCTTTGTGTAGAATGAGGGATCTATTTATAGTTTTTCTGGAGTGGCATAGCCCATAAATAGGCGTGAGATCAGGGGCAAATTGGGAGTGGTTTGAATGGACGGTCGATATCGAATCCTTTGATCATGCACCGTTCGTTGGACAATTGGAGGCCTTAATGATGTCAGAATTTGGCGAACTTGGGTATGTTGGATTCGTCTCGTCGAGCCGCTCGATTCGAGTATAAGCTCGTTAAAATCGGAGACCGTTTGGTAACTCAAATGGCGGTTTGAACCTTCCAATAGCGCTTCGGGTCCTTGATTCAGACCCATTTGGGCTCGGATTGGGTCGAATTTGGTGTCGCTGGGTTCGTATTTCCGAGACACTCAGTTTGACTGTAAGTTTGCTGAAATCTGAGTTCATGTGCTCCCGGATTTAGTTTTTGAAGTTTCCAACTTGATTTTTGCCTCGAGATTCGTGCCCGATCAAGATAATTTTTGCATGACGTATCAATGGCTAAGTTTTTATTCTTGAAATTAAATAAAAAATTATTTTAAACTGTGAAGATACCACAATTTGTTCAATGTTATACAGTATTCACATTTCTAAATATTACATTCTTATCTTAATTAATAGAAATTAAATTATAAATTATATTTTCTTTTCTAATTATTATCAATCTATATTAAGTTAATATTGAGGGCTCATTTCAAGGAATGATTGTTGGCTCTTCTTTTATATTTATATATTTTTTCTATTCAATCATTTGTAAAAGGAAATAATTTATTAATTTTTTTTATCATAGTACCATATAATAATAAGACTCTATAACTATTATACTTATAAATTTTATTAATCTCTACATATATTATATATATATATAAAAGCCTCTTTTGACTAGTACGGCCACCCACCTTTCATAAAAGGTCAATATTTAGCGGCTTGTTTTTACTCCCGGCAGAATTTAGACCAAGAATACGTTGTGTAGGCGCGCACCAGTTAGAAATTGTCCTGAAAGCCACATTTGAGTGCACGCACTTCAGGATTTGTGAATGGGCAAAAGACTCAAAACGACCATAAAATCTTTGTTTTATTGTTAGCACTAGACGTAACGCATTAATCTTAAAAGGAACGTGACCAGGGAAACTGAAACGAGGTAGAATGTGAAAAGTTAAAACGATGCGCTTATCTTAATTTATTGGTTAGGTGTTTTTATTATTAACTAAAATATTTTGAGTTGAAAAATTTATCTTAATTGACTCGAATATTTCAAAAATAAATAAAAAATTTTAAAACGTTCCAGAAGAAGCAACGCAGAGCTCAAGGAACGAGAGAGAGAGAGAGATTGCTGGATCTCATCGAGGTAATTTCCTCTTATACCTGTAGATAAATTTAACTATTCTACTAGTAGAAGTGGGCTTGGATCTGCTCCATCCTGCTCTGAATTTTAGAAATTGGGTTCTTGGTTCCTCTTCGGATGCGAAAACAAGGATACCCTCCGTTGATATACCCTCTTTTCAAGATTATAGAAGGGTTGATAACAGGTCCTTGCAACCTAAAATATAATTTTGCCTAAATTTTCGGGCTTTGACCGCCGATACCGGGTTTTGATGCTGCATCTACGCTATGGTAGAAGGCGTTCTCAGCTTCCAATGTTCATTTTGCTGGTTAGGATTTATTCATTGTGTTTTTACTTGATTTATGACTTGAATAAATTTTTTCTTCTGGCTTTTCATCTGAATATGTATATTTTTTTAATTTAAACTGAAGCTGATTATGCTATTTCTTGATCTCCTAATTTGTAGATCTGTTTATTTTATTTTATTTCTTTTGGCGTGTGGTGGATTGTGGTGCGTAGCACTCTCTGGGTTTATGGTTTCTTCACGTTTTTGTGCTAGTTTAGTTTTCAATTTTGGAACATGTGGATGGGTTTTCGGTGTTGAATGTTGTTATTTTGTCAAAAATTAGAAATCTCCTGTAAGAACTTAATTTCCTGCATTCTCTTGGAAGTTCGACAGTAGAATAATGCTGATATGTTTATAATAGCCACAAGGTACAGAAGATATAACAGTGATTCAATTCATGATCCCACAGTTCTCAGCCATGGATTACATAGACGTACTCTGGGGAATGGATAATGGACGCCATCGGCCACTTGTGTAACCAAATAGCAAATGCCAGTTCCGAGGAATGAATGTAAAATTCTGACCTTAGGTTCATATCGATACTGTTATGTGTGCTGAAGTTCTAGCATCGTGATGTTGCTGGCTTTGTTCGTACTGTGACACAGAACTTTCTCATGCATGTTTAGCTTTACACGGTGCTTGGTCTTTGTTTCAGCCTAGAGAGTTCAGGGGTTGCAGGAAATTATATCTAATTATTGGTGTAATTGTAGGTTTGATTGTCTGAAAATTTAGGTTTGGGCATTACCTTCTTTGATTTCCTTGGGCATATGCTATGATGCACAGACACGGACACGGCGACACGACACGACATGGACACGGGACACGGCAATTTTTAAAAATATAAGACACGGGTGCGGCGTGGACACGGCATAATAATTTTTTAATATAATATATAAAAATTAAGGTGACATTATAGTAAAAATGACAAGCAATCAACTGCGACGTAGTAATCTTAGGACACATTTTTATTTCATGGTCAGAAATTTTAAGTAGATGTGCCTTCACCCTAGAATAAGATCCTTTGTAGGTTGCCACCATAATAATTGCATTTGAATGACACATTCTCTCCTCCAAATATTTTTTCTAACTTTGTAACATGAATTCATAACGGCTTATCAGTTTCTATAAATGGCTCTTTTGAACCATCACCTAATCCACTCCCGTCAGCAGCAGAGCTCATTTTGCTAACAAACCAATCATACATATGAATACATCAAATTAAATTGATATGAAGTGAAATCAAAATATCCCAATAATAAGACAACATGAATACAACAATATACCGGTTTGCCGGGGGTCCAAGGGGGCGCTGCCCCCTGGCAGGTTCTACCTGTTTGTTTTTAAAGTTTTATTGTAAGAGTAATTTTGAAGTTCTGCTTGTTTTTAAAGTTTGTAAGTTGTTTGTATGAGAAGATACTGAGTGGTACCGAGCATGTACCTAGCAGTATCGAGCATGTACCTAGCGGTACCGAGCATGTACTGAGCGGTACCGAGCATGTATCTAGCGATACCTCATTTAATAACCGGACACGCGTGTCTGACATGCGTATACTATTTAAATTTTAATTTTTTAAAATTGCGACACTCCAATGCTGTGTCGGACACGTGTCCATGCCGTGTACGATGCGTGTCCGTGTCCGACACGTGTCCGACACTGCATACCCTTTTTAAGCGAACTGTCGGTGCATCATAGGGCATATGTATTAGTAAATTCCTTTTTCTTCCAGAAAATGAAATTCATGTTTAGATGCAATTGTATATATTCTATTTGATTTGACTTAGAATTTCTCTTTGTTCCTCAATTTAATTAATCTAAGCATAGTCACATCAATGTGTTATGCTATACTTAATGGAGAAGTTCTTATGTGAGGACAATCTAGTAATCCGATCCTATCTCTCAAAATATGTTGTTTGCATCTAATAATTTCTCTATTTAATGAGGCTCAATTATTATTTCTACAACTTTGCACTTATTTCTTTATTGATGCTAGTATGCAAAGGTCTAGGTCTTTTGTTGATTGCAATATGGAATTTTTCTTTGTTGTAGTATTTATCGTGGTTTGTGATCAAGTGCTTGGTGCAACATAAGATCTATTGGTTATAGACAGGCTAGGCATCAAAATAGGTAAATGAAATATGAATTGATGTCTTAGATTCATTTTTGTAATGTATACAAACTCACACCTGGGGAAGAAATTATAAGAAAATTACAAATATATTTTAGATCTTACTTGCCAATGGTGAATAGATCATCATAATACGAAGGTACCATGGAGCTATTGCATATAATGCAACTATAACAATATAACGCATGACGCAACACATGCTATTTTAAACATGTATAAAATATCAAAAAATTATAGATAATGATGCAGCTAACTATACAAGAATATTTATGAAAAATAAGCGATCATGATAATAAAAAAAAATTTATAACTAAAATATTATCCTTATAATATTAAACATTTATGCTTGGGCTTTTTGCTTAAAATCAAAATATTACAAATTTTTTGCAAGTTTCATATTTTTTTAAAAAAGAAACTAATCATCTTGAGAATCTTCATCATCATTATCTCTTAAAACTTACTCTTCATCGTTCTCTTTGTTTCATATTCCATTATAATTATATTAAGCTTAAAATGAATATTCCTTATTTCCTTTAAATCATTATCCAATATTATAGTTTCTTTTGTAAACTATTAGCTCGAGCCTCTTTGCGTACTTTGCATTTCTATTGGGTTTTGAAAGCCCTTCACATGCCTTGCATCCACCACAAAGCCTTAGCAAAGTGTAAAAGCAAAAATAAAACTAATAAGAAATAAATTAATTAATAATATTTTTATTTCTAAATTAAATTTGAAATCAAAATAGTTCATGCTACATGAGCAATATGCTATGTTCAATTACCTATCTTTTATGCAAATAGTATATACCATTTTGATATCTTGCACCTTATGATGCACTGACACTTTCTTAAAAAGATATGTTTTGTCTAACGCATATTACACAAGACACGTGTTCGACATATTTCTAGCACATGTCACATGTTGAAGATGCGTCCTATTAAAAAATATTAAAAACAAATTGGTTAAATAGAATTTCTTTTATGTTAAAATTTTATTTATTAGAAAAACTTGCACAATGTATTAATTGATTCATGTTATGATTATTCGATAAGTTTTACGCTAGCTGTCGACTACTTAATACAAACCTCTACTTTTCTCATCCAGGACTTATGATAGGACAATGACAGTACAAGGGCCACTGCACTGGCATCCGAATGTAGTATTGAATAGGCAAGGGTTCCCACATCATGAATGGATGTGGGCTAAGAAACTACTTCGTAAAACTAAAATTACCAAAATAACTTAAAATATAGGTTTTCTTACCGGCAAATTAATAAAATTAATAGATATTATGATTCATAGGAAGATATATATTCTATGCATTTAAAAAACTAAATGGATTGGAGAGAAGGCTAAGAAAATTAATAGTTTAGAATTTAAACTATAATATTCTAATATGAGACATACTATAAATGGTGTAGGTGTGATTATTAATAAAAATTTGAAGGTTAATATTATAAAATAATATAATTAAAAATAAATTATAGCTTTAAATATTATTGTTGATGTTAAGATTTTTAATATTATACGTGCTTATTGTTTCTTAAGTAGATTTGGATGTGTTTAAAATTAAACTTTTGGAATGACTTAAGCTTCATTTGGGATGGCTTTCTTACTGCTTCTTAAAGCAATTTTTAAATACAAAAATTAAATCTTTTGTAGAAAGTTGCTTTAAGAAGCAGTAAGAAGCCGTCCTAAATGAAGTCTTAGAAGAATTAATATAAAATATACATCTTGAAATGAGTTTTTATTGGAGAAAATTTAAATGGACATGTTAGTATAGAGGTAGATGATTTTAAAATATTTATAGCGGCTATGAGTATAGAGTGATTAATGAAGGTGGTAAGATCATATTAAATTTTACTATAGCTTATGATTTTATAATTGCTAATACTTAATTTAAAAAAAGCGATAAACATCTCATCACTTATAAGAATAGATATAATAAAATTAAATTTATTATTTTTTATAAGAAAAATAAATCATTTAGATTAAAAATATTATAAAGTTATTCCAAGTGAAAGTTTATATGCCCAACATTACTTATTTGTTTTGGACTTTAAGATAAAACACATAATATAAAAAATAAAATAAAATAGTGTTTTAGGATTTGATGGAGGCATTTAAAGAATATTAACAAAAATATTTTTGAAATTAAGATTCTAGATCTTAAGATTTTGTCTGTGCATAAGGAAACAAATGTTATGTGGGAAAAATAGCTAGTGATATAATGATGTGCTTAAAATACTATGGAGACAACTCATAATAGTAAAAATAGTTGGTTGTGGAATCAAAATGAGCAAAAAATGATTAAAAATAAAAAACATTGTTACAATTTTTTTTTATATAAACATTGATAATTAGAAAAAATATAAAGTGACCCATAAGGAGTTTAAGAAAGCAATATGTGATGCAAATATTTTATCTTTTAATTATTTATATAATAGATTAGATACTAAGGATGAGAAAATATATATGTATAAGTCAGCAAAGCAAAGAGATAGGAGTAGTGAGGATTTAGTTCAAGTGAAGTGCATTACGGATGAAGATAAAAAAAATGCTTTTATTAAAAGAGGATAATCAACAAATGGATGAGATATTTTACTAAACTTTTCAATGAAGACTGTGAGAGTACAATTGACTTTAGTGGCCTTAGCATTCTAAATGAAAATAAAATTTTTTATTTTTATCAGCGTATTAGTAAAATTGAAGTTAAAGAGGCTTTAAAGAGAATGAAGCGAGGAAAAGCTGTTGGACCTGATGATATTCTAATAGAGATATGAAAATGCTTAGGAGATGAAGGAATTTCTTGTCTCACTAAACTTTTTAAAATTATTTTAAAAACTTAAAAGATGC